AGGGGGGGGATTTTGGGGGGGTATGGGGGGGGCATTGCATGCTTTCCTCTCCTGCACGCCTCTGGGAGCGCAGGGCTGGGGGGAGCCTTGGGGACACACTCTTGTGGGTTGGGGGTCCCTGGTGAGGGGTGGTGTGGGGGGGCAGGCAGGTCTCTCCAGGCTCCCCCTGCCCTTCCAGCGGACTTTGTCCACTTCCAGCTCTTCTGGCCCAAGTTTGCTTTGCAAGCAGCCGTACCCTCATCGCACTTCGCCCATGGCTCCACGTCACTGGGCTGTGTCTCCCCTTTGGGGTCCTCCCGGAGGGTGCCAAGGGGCTCTGCCCCCCAAACCCCAAGCAGAGGGGCAAGGAGGAGATGTTTTGGAAGGAGAGGTCCCATCCCCTCCTCCAGCTGAGCTGTGGGCTGGAGGCATAGGGAAGGCGAGGCACAGCCCAGCCAGGCTTTCCCGGAAGCACAGCTCACCTCCTGCTCTGCTCTCCCCGAGGATTTTGCTGCGGGATTAAGGCTGTGCTGTTCCCTCGGGGGTGGCTCAACCATGGCCTCCAAGCGCCACGCGCCCCGCCCAAAGCAGTCGGGTGGCAAGGGCAAGAAAGCAAAGGGGGAAGAGGAAGATGACGCCTGGAGCTCCACCTTGGCAGCCCTGAAAACTGCCCCCAAGGAGAAGCCCCCTCCCACCATCGATGGGCTGTGCCCCCTGAGCACGACACCGGGTGCCCGGGTGAGAGCAGGGCTGGGGTGCCCGGGGGGGCTGGGATGGGGGGATGTGGGCAGAAGGGACCTGGGGAGTCCCAGGGCAGCCCCTGCCCTGCTGATACAGGGGCAGCCCTAATTTTCCTCGCAGACCCCCCTGCATCCCCACTGAGACAGTTCTGCCCTCCTCCCCTGTCCCCCAAATGCTGCCCAGGTGCCAGCCTGGGCTGTGCTGCTCGCTGTAGGTCTACGAGGACTATGACTGCACCCTGAACCAGACCAACATCAGTGCCAACAACAACAAGTTCTACATCATCCAGCTCCTTGAGAACGATGGTGCCTACAGTGTCTGGAACCGCTGGGGCCGTGTGGTGAGTCCCCCCCAGCACCACTCGTCCCCCCCACCCCAGCTGTCCTCACCCTGCCTTAGGACCCCCAAAGGTCAGGGATGAACCTGGTGGTCACCATCCCTTCTTCCCAGCCCAAAAGCAAGCAACTGAGTGGCCCTGCTGTAGCCCCTTGCTGGGGGGACTTCAAGGACTAGCCCCCACACAATGTGGCAGAGGGGGATGGAAATGATACCTGTCACTGTGATGACAGTGAGCGTGACACCCCAGCAAGGAGTCCCAAGCTGGAGGGACACCCAGACTCGGTGCTAGTGGCTCAGACCTTCCTGCTCATTGCCCTGCAGCCCCCTTGCTCCCCAGGCCGCTCCCCCCGGCATGGGGCTGGTGGAGCAGGGATGCAGGGATGGTCCTGACCACTGCTGTCCATTGCCAGGGGGAGGTGGGCCAGTCCAAGCTCATGCCCTCCGCCTCTCTGGAGGCTGCCAAGAAGGACTTTGAGAAGAAGTTTCGGGAGAAGACCAAGAACAGTTGGGCGGAGAGGGAGAACTTCGTTGCCCAGCCAGGGAAGTACACGCTCATCGAGGTGCAGCCAGGGGCCGGGCAAGAGGTGGAGGTTACCCTCAAGGTGAGTGTGCCAGGCAGCCTGGGTGTCACCACAGTGGGGTGGTCCTCACATCCCACCCCTTGCCCATTGGGCACCAGGACATCCAAGTGGGTTTGCAGGATGGGGTGGGTTTTGGGAGGGATCTGGATGCGAGCTGAAACAGGCTGTGGGCAGAGATGTGAGGGTAATGGGTTGAGATGGAGTGGAAAGCATCCCAAGCAAGTGATGTTGGGGGTCTGCAGGTGGATGGCATGGATGGGGACAAACCCTGCAAGCAGCGGGTGAGGCCCTGCACCTTGGACAAAGCCACACAGGACCTGGTGTCCCTCATCTTCAGCAGCGACATGTTCCGGGATGCCATGCAAACCATGAATATTGGTAGGAGGTGATGGCTGGCATGGGGTGGGTCTGGGGGCAGAGACCTGGGGGTGCAGGGGGGGAAGTGAATGAGGCAGAGGTGCCGGTGGATTTTAGAGCATTCCCACTGACAGCCCGGCACCTGGAGGCACTGTGGGCCCCTCGCACTGGGTGCCAGCATATGCCCGTGGTGATGCTTGAGGTTATTGGAAATAGCTGTGGAGTGGGTTCACCTGTGCCCTCCCCTGTATCCCTGGCCAGACGTGAAGAAGATGCCGCTGGGGAAGCTGAGCAAGCAACAGATAGCAAGGGGCTTTGAGGCGCTGGAGGAGCTGGAAGCAGCGCTGAAGGAGCAGCCCCCCCAGGCCGCCCGCCTGGAGGACCTCTCCTCCCGCTTCTACACCATTGTCCCCCATAACTTTGGGCGGGCACGGCCACCCCCCATCAACTCCCCCGAACTGCTGCGTGCCAAGAAGGACATGCTGTTGGTGAGATGCTGGGGCACCCAGCGGGTGGCGTCCCCCTCCAAGAAGGGCTCCTGCTTGTGGGGCAGGGAGATGCTGGCAGGAGGTTGCCCTGGTCCCCCCGGCACAGTGCCCAGCACTGGCAGTGAGGATGTCCCCGGTCTGTGCCTGCCAGGTGCTGGCTGACATCGAGGTGGCACAGAGCCTGCAGGCGCAGAAGGTGAAGGAGGAGGAGGAGGAGGAAGTCGTCCATCCGCTGGATCAGGATTACGCCCTGCTGTGCTGCCAGCTCTCCCTGCTGGACCCGGCTTCCCGGGAATACCAGGTGCTGTTTGTGCCACAGTGCCCCATGACTGGGAGCAACGGAGACCGGCCTGCGGGCACCCCAAAGGTCCCCGCCATCCCACAGGGGCTGTGGGCATTGCTGGGATGGCACCCTGTGGTGACACTGCTTTCCTGCTTCCTTCCCTGGCAGCTGATCCAAAACTACGTGTCACAGACCGGACACAAGCTCCACATCCTCAACATCTGGCAGGTGGCCCGAGATGGTGAGGTGAGAAGAAGGAGCTGCTTATCCCTGTCCTGCAGTGGGGAAACCCCAGGGTGGAGCTTTGTCTGCATCAGGGCTCCAGGCATCTCCACCCAGGGTGGCTTGAGCCCAGCTGGCCAGGGGCAAACAAGCACCCACTCCCCTGCCCCTCCAGCCTGGCACTGGGGTTGGGCTGGGGGCATCCTCCACCCCCGGGCCCACACATCTCCCTCTGTGGACAGCCCTTGGCTCTGCTTCTCTCCAGGACGAGCGCTTCAAAGCCCACAACCTCCTGGAGCACCGGCGCCTGCTCTGGCACGGCACCAACGTGGCAGTGATTGCGGCCATCCTGAAGAGCGGGCTGCGCATCATGCCCCACTCGGGCGGGCGCGTGGGCAAAGGCATCTACTTCGCCTCTGAGAACAGCAAGTCAGCCTGCTACGGTGAGGGTCCTGGGCCCACAGGGTCTGCGGGAGCCCAGCTGCCTTCGCATACCCCCAGCCAGGCAGCTGCTGTGCACGCCAAGCCCCTTCCCTGTGTGCTGGGGTGGCCTGGGCACAACTGAGAGGGAATGCCAGGGCTGGTGCCATCATCCCCATCCCCTTCTCCCATGGCAGTGCGCTGCACATCCAAGAGGGTTGGCATCATGTTCCTGACGGAGGTGGCCCTGGGCAAGCCCTACCGCATCACCTGCGATGACCCCACGCTGTGCCAGCCGCCTGCTGGCTATGACAGCGTCCTGGCCTGTGGCCAGACAGAGCCTGGTGAGCCAGGGGCAGGAGAGGGTGTGGGGGTCTGTGCAGCTGGGGTGGGCATGGGGGGGGGGTGGGAAAGAGGACAGGTCTTGGGCTTGACGTGGTGGTGGTGGTGGTGGGGTGTCTTCTCGCCCAGACCCTGCGCAGGATGAGGAGATGCTGCTGGATGGCAAGAAAGTTCTGGTGTGCCAGGGCAAGCCCATCCGCATGGACGCCTACAAGGACTCCTCCTTCAGCCAGAGCGAGTACCTCATCTACCAGGAAAGCCAGTGCCGCATCCGCTACCTTGTCCAGCTCCAGTTCTGAGGGTGCCTGGACACCCTGTGACCCCATCCCAGCACCAGCTGGTGATGCCCACCAGCCCACAGCACGGTGATCTTGACTCCCCGGCCAACGCACCTGGTGCTTGGTAAGGGAGAGGCTGGCATTGGTGACAGAACCTGCTTTTACCGTGAATAAAAACAGTGTGCCTTGTACCAGGTGATGCTGTCACTGTCCTGCCTGGCCAGGTGGGAGCGGAGCAGGGAAGGGTGGTGGTGGGTCCCTGCAGGGACGGTGGTGGGTGGCTCTGGAGGAGCTGCAGCCTGTTGTGGCTGTCTGGTGAAAGCTGGTGGCTTTGCGAGCCGGGTGCTCTTGTCACCTTCACAAGGCATGTGGCTCATCCCCATCACCGTGGTGTCAGAACTACAGAAGATGAACAAGATGTGCTGCCCTGCCTGGGCATGGAGGACCTCATCCATGGCCAAGCAAGAGGTGCGTCTGCCCTCCCTCTGGTGCCATGCTTGGTGCCATGCCTGCTGCCGTGCCGCAGCGTGGCATCCATGACAAGCCCCTCTCCATGTTCTCATGTGCCCCCCGACCACGTGTCCAGGTGGCAGGGAAAGGAAACTCCCATCTGCGTTCTCCCAGTGCCCCATGGATGCTCCAGAGCACCCATGGGCTGGCGGGGAGGAGACACCTCACACCTACCTGTAGGTCTGTCCCCCGAGCCCTGGGGACCTCGGGGCTGAGCTGTCCTTGCAGACGGACGTGTGGCCATGCTGGGGAGAGGGTGGCACAGGGGTAGAGGACCCCCGGTCCCCCCTTCCCGAGCCCCCGCCGGCTGCTAGGACCCAGCAGCTGTCCCCGTGGGACCGCCACGAGTGCAGGCAGCGCCCGGGAGTGACAGCTGGTGCCATCCGCAGCTGGCGGGCTGCAAGCAAACAGGATGACGAGCGGGTGACGGGGCGCAGGGAAGGGAAGGGGGGGTGTGGGGGGGAGCGTGGCCTGGCGCAGGGGCCGGCAGCCCCTTTTCTGCTGCGGGAGCGACGCCGGCGAGAAGGGTCCCCGGCGAGGAGGGGGAGCATCACCCACTTTCCCAGGAGCAAAGAGGTGCGCTGTCCCCGTCCCCACACACCCCCTGGGGTCCCCTGTGGAGGGAGCAAGGAGCAGGGATGGGGCAGGAGGGTTTGTGCTGTCCCTCCTCGGGGAGAGGTGCTGGGGCTGGGGTGGGGGGACTGGGTGTCAGCCTGGCACGGGTGCCTGCAGGTCCCTGCAGTGCCAACCCTGGCCAGACCGGGGACAGACCGGGCACCAGCCCTGGGCTAGGCAGGGTGCCGTGACCGTGCTGGGCACCTCTCCCTGCTCCAGCATCTCGGGGGGGGGGGGGCGTTCTGGGCATCCCCAGGTTTCTTTGTGGCTCTTCCCCATGTTGGTCCTTTCCCTTCC